CGCTTTGACCGATCAGGACCCTTGCCGCTGTCCTCCTTCCGCGGCTGGGGACACCCCCGTGACCAGTGGCCCTTCTCGTTGCAGTTCTTGCAGCGGGTGACCTTCATGAGCCTGAGGATTCTCTGACTCGTGGCGCCGGCATCCTTCGGCCTGTCTCCTCGGCCTCGCCCGCGCGCGCGGCCTCGGCCGCCTGTGCCGCCTCGGCCGCCCCCACCACGGCGTCCGTCGTCGTCGCCCCGGCGAGGTCGTGCACCGTGGAACTCGCGGTCCTGCTTCGCCGCGCGCTTCAGGTCCTTGTTCTGCTTCCAGGACCTGCGCTGCACCTTGCCTGTCATCTGCACGAAGGCCTCGGTGGCATCGTCCTCGTCGAGATCCAGATCCTCAATCTCCGCCAAAATGGCCATGAGGTCTGTCTCGGATAGCTCCTCGTCTTCGTCTGGATCCTCTCCCGACTCGTCGTAGTACGATTCTTCGTCCTGTCGAGCGGTCCCGGAGCCCGAGACCTGGTAAGCCTGGGAGGACGAGTGAGGGAGAGGGAGAGAGCTGTGGCCTCGTCCGTCCTCGCCGTCTTCTGCGGCCAGGACTGGGTGCGAGGCACTGCTGCCAGGCAGCAGCTTCTCGCCGTTGCCGTAGTCGAGCTGCCTGAGAGCCCAGGCCACGCCCCTGTAGTCTAGGCTGCCCTTGGTGAGGGCGCGCAGGTTCTGTTGACCTTGCGCGCTCAGTCCCGCACCCTCCTCGAGCATGAGACCCTTCATCTTATCCGACATCCATATGTCGTGGCTCTCGGCGTCGGTCATCTGCTGATCGCGTCTCGCTACGAACTGCGTGAGGCTCTCCTTCTGGCCCTTCGTGCACTCGAACAGTGCCCTGCGACCCGCTCGGCGCGTGTCGTCGCCCTCTCGCTGGCCGCTCATGAGGTCCATTCTCTCGAGGAGTGTCCAGCCAGCGGGGCCCGCACAGCACGTTCTCGCTGATGTCCTCGAACTTCGCCTGCATCGTCCAGTCGAACAGCTTCAGGAAGCGCTCCGACCGCCTCCACAGCTGCACGTCAGTGTTGCGGCTCCACCGCTGGATCGCCTTTTTCCACAGGCGGTAGTGGCCCCATCCTGGCCAGGTAGGTGGGTCTGAGTAGTCACCTTTGGACCAGCCGCCCTCGTTCCAGTTGTGGTTCCTCCAGCCGCCCTTGTCGTCGTCCTTCCAGTCGGAGTCCCTGACGCCGTCTCGCTTGGTGTCCTGCTGCTGTCGGCCCCCGGGGCCCCACTTGCTCTCGTCAGGCTCCGGCTGTCCACTCTTCCATGGATCGCGGCCGTCGCTCCAGGGATCCTGACCCCTCGAGCTCTCCTGCCGGCCGCTCTTGGTGCCGCCGTAGTCGTCGTCTGCGCCGGCGGCGCTCTGGCTGAGCCCTGGGCCGAGGTTCTTCACTGCGTCCTTCACGGCCTGCTGGATCAGCTGCTTCAGCTGCTCTGTGACCTGTGGGCTCGAGCTCGCTGCGCCTCCGACGGGTGGCGGTGGCGCCGTCTCCTCCCCAGTCCCCTCTGACTGGGCTAAGCGTCCTCCGCCTATGACGGCGTACGTCTCGTTCTTCTCGTCTCCTGGGCCAGTGTCATCTGGCCCTGGCATCAATGCCTGCCGTGGATCCGCGCTCTGTCCAGTCCGGTGAGAGCAGCGCCCGCGCAGCCGCCCGAGCTGCCCCCGACACCACCGCTGATCAGCGGTGCCTGGGGGCGCCCATGCATGCCGCGCCGAACACTGCTCCGCTACCAACGGTGGCAGCAGCAGGATGAGCAGATGCATTTTGGCCTTGAGCCATAATGTGACAACGACAGTACATCCTTCCCTGAAACACGTACGAACAATCCTGGCCTCCCGTGAGCTGGAATGTTGGGCTTCACGGGAAAGAACATTATGCTAAACCTATATCGATAAAACAGGAGCGTCTCCACAGCGGGCCGAATGAGGTCTAACATCCTCGCACAAACAGCAACGCCCTCCCCGGAAATTCAAACATAGCCGCAAACGGATCCAAAACAAGCACTCGACTGGCCCAACAGCGGAACTCCGTGGGCGACAAGACCAATTCCTTGGGTGACAAGCCAGATTCACGATGGTGCCACGTACCCATGACCGCCGCCAATCAAGCCCCCCCAGAAACAACTATAAGGAACTGCCCCACCTCCGAGACTGCCGACGCAACGCCGCTGGAAAACGACCACCGCCCAGCAGCACAACATGGGCAACGAACGCGCGAGCAAAAGCAAGCGAGGCCATACGAGGGGCCGGCGGAATGAGCGAAGCGATTGCGTAACTCATCCCTGTCGCACCCCGAGGCGTGCTGGTCGGGGGGGCCGGGCGTTTCGCCTGATTTCCTCACCACTTATGGTCCTCAAGTGAGCTGAGCGCTTGCAAGAGGTTCACGGGTTGAGGGCGGGTCGTTCTCAAGATGCGGCTCTCGCGTTACTGCCGCGCACATGTCTGCAACAAACGGGAGTAGCTTCGCGGGTGGAGAGGGCGGGCAGTCTTCAGAACGTGGCTCTCGCCTCCGCGCCGCGCACATTCGCCGTAAGTATGCCCAAGAGCTTCACGGATGGAGGGCGGGCTGTTTTTTTGAATGTGGTTCTCGCCTTCGCGCCGCGCACACTCGTGTGAAACAGTTGCAAGAGCTTCACGGGTGGAGGGCGGGTAGTTTTCAACACGTGGCTCTCGCCTTCACGCCGCGCACATCCGTCTGAAAAGTTGCAAGAGCTTCACAAATGGAGGGCGGTTACTTTTCAAAACGTGGCCGTCGCCTGAGCGCCGCGCACATTCGTTTTGAAGAGCGCACTTCAGGTCCAAGGACTCTCATGGCCAACGTCCCATCTTGTTTTGATATCATGTCGGCTTGTCAGGGCGCAACATTTACGCTGATTCGAGGTGTTGAAGTCACAAGCATGGTGTTCTGGCACGATTCGACGTAACGGCCACGGTGACACGCGGCGCTGAAGTCCCAAGAATGGTATTCTGGCGCAGTTCAGCATTTTCAAACGGTTGTTTTCCAACGGGGCACTTCCATCTGTAAAAAACAATCCTGGCTGGGGTCCATGACGAGGGAACTTGGAAGGAATGTTTATTGCAATACCGTTGATGGGCCTTGGGTTTACACTGGTCTTCCTCCTCCTCCTCTTCCTCGTCCTCTCTCTCCTCCTCCCCCTCCTCATCCACCTCCTCCTCCTCCTCCTCCTCCACCTCCTCCTGACACCAGAACCAGGATCGGGGCGACCAAAAAACACTATACACCCAGATCCCCTCGCGTTGTAAAAAAAAAAAACATGGCGGAATGTTTTTCGCTAGTCTGGGCGTCCAGGGGCTCTCACTGGGCCTCGGGATCGGCAAAATGACTCAGGATGAAAAACTGGTCCCCAGGCAGAGGTCTCGACCTCTGAGGGTGCACGTCATGAAAAAATCGCAACGTCGAGGGTCTGGGCACTGGGATTCTCGTTTGCAGTCCCCACTGTGCCCTTCTTCTTCTGAGGGCACGACTTGTACACACCACCCCCACAAACAGGCTTGTCTGGAACACGACCGTGGAGAGGGGCTTGTGTCCAAGCATGACATCCCCTAGGGACGCGATTCTGCACACCACCCCCGCAAACAAGCTGCTCTAGCACAGGGCACGCCCGCGGGCGCGGTGGCCATAAATCGACCCTCCACTTCTGGGAACCCACGCTGCTTGCTGTGCAACCCCCGTTGTACACTTGTCTTTTGTTTGTGCCAATTGTACCCTGAGATCCGATGTAGCGACACATTTGCAACATCGTGAACAATCACGACCGGAGCCCCAGACCCCAACTTTCTGCGCCACTTTTCGAGCCGCATCGATCTGTCAAGGTCCTCGGGTCCGAAACCACGCGAAGACGCCCGGCTCGAACAAACTTGAGACAACAGGATGTCAGGGTACGCCGAGCGAGCGAACGCGCACCTTGCAGCTGCAGATCTTCCTGGTTCATTCCATCGTGGTGTGGCTTGTGTTCGTGGACCGCCAGAGGTTTGGACCTCGACCCTGGAATCGCTTTTTCACCCCAAGCCGTTTTTGACCGCCCTGGGGCCCGGTGGGAGCCCCTGGCGGCCGAAAGCTAAACCTCCCTCCGAGACTCTCTTCGCCGAGCGGGCGAGCGCGAACCTTCCGGCAGCAGGGCTCCTCCCGCGCCGCGCCGAGCAGCCCGGCTCGAAAACACTGCGACGCCGGCTGCGACGCTAGGACCTCAAGGTCGCCCCAGCCCCTGAGGTCCTTGGATAGGGGGCCACACGCGAACCTACCCCTACCCCCCACGATTTCGGAGGGGGAGGGGAAGTGAACCCCACCCTCCCCCTCAGAAACCGTGGGGGGCAGGGGTAGGGTTCGCATGTGGCCCCCTATTGGATCCTGACTCGGCTCTCTGGCGGCCGCTCGGGAGGCTCCGGGCCCCCCCCCCTGGAACGCCCTCGGCGAGGCGCAGCCGCTGGGCGGCACCCCCGAGGCCGGAACAAGCCGCCGCGAAGCCCCGGCCCCTCGAGGCCCAGCCCCTGCCGCTCTCGGCTCCCGACTCGGCCCTCATGGCGGCCGCGCGGGGCGCTCCGGGCCCCGCGGCCCCCCCCCCCCCGGAGCGCCCTCTCGGCGAGGCGCAGCCGCCCCGGGCGGCACCCTCGGCGAGGCGGCCTCCCGCGCCCGAAGGCCTGCCTCTGGAGCCCCTCCGAGGGCCCCCCCTCGGGGCTCGCCGCCCGCGGGGCGGCCGCGGCTCGCCACTCCTCCGAGGAGCCGAGCGGGCCGGCGAGCGAGCGAGGGGCACCCGGCGAGTCCGAGCGGAGCGAGGCCGCGCCGCGCCGAGCAGCTCCTGCGAGCGAGCGCGAGCGAGCCGAGCAGAGCAGAGCCCAGCAGAGCGAGCGAGCCGAGCAGAGCGAGCGAGCCGAGCAGAGCAGAGCAGAGCAGAGCGAGCGCGAGCGAACCGAGCGAGCGAGGCCGCGCCGCGCCGAGCGAGCGAGGGCGCCTTCAGGCTGCAGAGCTCCTCCCGCGCCGCGCCGAGCAGCTCCTGCGAGCGGCGCGTCGCCTCGCTCAGCGCGTCCGCGTCGGAGCTCTCCAGCGAGGCGCCGCCGCGCGCGGCGGCCGCCAGCCGCGCGTTCTCGCGGCGCTGCTCCGCGATCTGCTCGTCGCGCTCCTCCAGGGCGGCCCTCGCGTGGGCCAGCTCCTCGTTCGCAGGGGGACTCCTACCCTGAGATCCTGGCGTCTCATTCTTCTTCGAGCTGGGCGTTTTTGTTCCGCCCGGTTTCAGGCCCCGGGTCCCTTACCGATATCGATCTGGCTCGCCAAGTAGTGCGGAAAGATGGGGTCCGAGGCTCTGGTCATGATTTGAAGATGTTTCGATTTTTCGCTGCGTCCGATCTCAGGGTGCACGCCGTGGCACAAATCACGGCGGCAGGTTTTTGGCTGTTCTCGTCGGTTCTTGGCGGCTTTCCAAGCTTCGGGGTGCTCTCCAGCTTCTGCGCCCCGCCAAGAAGCGTCCAGGTGCCCGGACCGTCCCGAACGGCCGCCAGAGACCCGTATGACCCGAAAGCCTGACATCGTCGCGTCGTGGAAAAATCACGACGGGCGGCTTTTGATATTTGTCGCTTCCAGGTGACCTCGCCGGACCCCGGGGCCGTAAACAAAATCACTCGCACTGAAAAGCCGGCCATGGGGGAAAAGGTCGTGGCTTCCGAAGGCCCGGCATGGCGCCCTCCCGGCCGAGGCCAGGCGGGTCCATTCTGAATGGGGCCCAGGGGCACACACACACATAAACAGACACAAATCCCAGGATCCCCTCCATGCTATAATGCAGCATCTTTTCTGGATGTTCGTATCCCCATCCACTTCCATATGCTCCACATCTCTTTGGGAATCGGCGATTCTTTGTGTCTGTGCCTTTTCCCCTCCTGATATTCGCCATCCTGTGGCCCAGGATGGCCCTGGCCAGGACCGGCGGTGGCGCACAGATCCGGGGGTTGCTAAAGGTAGGTCGGGCATGTCCTCCTACAGGGGGGCTTTGGAAGAGAAATAAAACATAGTCAAACAATACTCAACAATAGTCAAAAATAGTGGACAAATCGTCCCCTGACTATTTTTTGCCTAATTATCTTGTAACATGTCTCCTGTAGAGGGACTTGCCCGATTTAATGCTAGAGGTGCCCCTAGCCCAGGGCGCCCCCAGCCTTCCGCTCACTTTCTGGAGCCCCTGGGGCCCTCCGGTCCGCTCGTGCTCTGGAGGCCGCGGGGACCTCATCATCGTCATCCTCCTCCCCCTCATCCTCACCCTCATCTTCATCCTCATCCTCCTCCTCCTCCTCCTCATCCTCATCATCATCATCATCATCATCATCATCATCATCATCGTCGTCGTCGTCGTCGTCGTCGTCGTCGGCGTCGTCGTCGTCATCCTCCTCCTCATCATCATCATCATCAGCATCATCATCCTCATCCTCATCCTCATCCTCATCCTCATCGAGGCACCTCGGGCCAGGGGCACTCTTGGCAACACCCGGCGCGTGCCTCCCGCGGCTCCTCCTCCACCCGGAGCGGGGCCGCGGACGCCGACCGCTGCTCCAGCTCCGCGAGCGCGCACGCCTCGCCCCGCCACCTCCGGGCCGGACGGGGGGAGAGGGGCAGGTCAAGCTGGGCGCGCAGGCGCCGTGTCTGACATCCTACATCCTACAGTCAACCAGTACAGTAAGGCTGCGCGATGAGGATGCGAGGGCCCTGGGCGCCCACTTCGAAGCCTTTCGAGCGGGGCGCGGCCAGCGAAAGCGGCGAAGGATGGACCGAGGAGGCAAGGATGCAAGGGTACCCTTGGGAAGGTTACCCACCCTTACTATATTGGTCGACTGTATCCCCCCCCTGCTCGGAGCTGAGGAACTTGTAGGGTGGGAAGTTCGAAGGCGGCCTTCACGCCACGCGTCCTCGGAGACAGCAGTCCAGGTCCTGATCTGCGAGCACTCTGCGAACAAAAAAAAGAAGAAACGATCCCAGACAACGCCCGGGGCCCGGTCCAGACTCCTGCCTTTCCCGAGCGACATCTGGAGCCCATGCACGCTGATACTGTCTAGTAGGATTGCTGATGGGTGCACACCTCCCACCCATCCCTTCCCGATGCGCTGATGTTTATCTATCTGCGGGCGCGTGAACAGCGGGAGCAAAGCGCCGATCCCAAAACGATGCCAACGCTGCAGCGGCAGCACTACTTCGAGACACCGAGAACGTGCCGATCGAAATCCGCCGACCTTCGCTGAGGGGTGCAAGGGCTTGCGAGATGATTGACTGTCACCCTCCTCCTGTCTCTCTCCCCTGGAGCTCCAAATCGCGTCAGAGCGGGGGGGGGGGCCTGGGGAAAGGTAAGTGGGGGGGGGCGGGGGGAAGCTCCTGCACGCATCCCTGGCGCCTCCGGAACCTCTCCAGGGCCCGAAGACGGCCCCAACAAAGCGCCCAGACAGTCCACATCAGCGTCGCGATGGCCCAAGGTCGCCCCGCGATGGTCCCACACGTCTTCGAGACGGCCCACGTGGCCCCCACACAGCCGAGAGAGCCCCCAGAGGCAAGCATCGCCCCACTCCGTGAGGGAAGCGTAAATCTTTAGCATGCTCGCGTTTCTCTCACGGCGTCCAAGACAGCCCAGGGGGCCCCAAATACCGTCCCAAGACAGCCCGTGAGGCCCCCAA